TTTAGTCATAAACATTCACTCCCTAAGCACACACCGCTAACTGTATGGTAAAGTGTATTCTTAGTGAACTAAAGTGCTGGTTGGCATATTCTAAGCCTAACGACCGTTGCCCGAGTGAGTAAGTTCACAAAGTGGTGACGGTGAAACGTGTTTGAGCCGCCCGCTGACCTTAAGCGCAAGAAGTGCGTACGCTGTTGGCAGCCGTCCAATTTGCATTGGCTTTATTTATGTATTTACACATAAGTGTGTTTTTTATTTACATAGTTACGTCTGTATTGGAGCTGCTAGGGTGGTTGAAGTTCCGTAATAAAAGCCGAAACTTTTAAGTTCTATTTAATGACTTTAGCTTTCTGTTTTCAAGCTAAAAAAAAAAACTAGAAAAAAGAAAATTTAATTACGAAGGTTATCATGACAGTGATAAAGACAGCGATCGGCAGCTTCATTTACATTTGCCTCGATAGTCGAACTAGTTTAATTTGAACCGATAATAGGCTGGTTTTTTGCAGTTTCATTAAATATTTATGAGACATAGTTTTTAGATTTAAAGCGAAGTTCATAGCCATATATTCACTGCCAAAAAGTAATGAATATATAGAATATTGTAACGAAGTGCTCAATCAGGTTAGAAGTAGCTATAAATATATAGACTTGCTGCTAAAATAGCTAATTGATTAATGAGGCTGTAGTGCTAATTTACTTATAACTAAGAGGTATAAATTTATGAACGGTTAATTATTATTCCTACAATAAAGAACAGGTTTTGTGTTAAGCGGCACGCGACAGAAACAAAATTCCTTGAGGCTTGCTGTAAAGTATTCATAAGAAGAGGCAAAAGTATTAATTTACTGTCCTAATTATCGCAATCAAATTTTTAAGATAAGTAAAACATATTTTAATCATTATTTCGGCTATCCTATTTGAGTACCATGATTGCATGATAACTGTATTGCAAATATGTATTTATCTTTACTACTGATCCTACTGAAAATATTTCTTAGCACATCAAAAATGTCTGAAAAATCTTTTATTCCATGTCGTTATTATGATATTAAGTATATTATAACAATTAAAATTTGCAAAAATGTGGCAATGCTTATTGAAACATTTCAAAATAAAAGAAATGTACTCACGGCAATTTCTACACAATATAATATTCATTTATTTTATCAATTTAATTATATTAAATTTTCAACTATAAATCTTCTGTAAACATTTTACACATACTAACAAATTATGTATACTGTCCATCTTATTGGGTTGGAATTGGTATTTGAGATAAAAGTTTCAGACATGTTGCAATCGCTTTCCAAATATCTCACAATAAAAAAATGTTGCTCAAGCCGCTTAATTCGTTATTTAATATATAGTTGTTTTATAAGTTTATTGCGATAAATATGTTAAACTCTACTTAAAATTATATTTTCGTATCTTTTAGATTAATGTACATAAACACATTACTACTTTATCTTATCCTTTTTTACTGAAATACAAGTTTTAAGCAGGTGACAACACTCATTTAAAAAGTCTAATTTATGTTTTATAGAGTTTTTAGTTTTAATTTTTAAACAGGGTGCAACCTTCCACTATTGCATTATATTATTAGTAGTTTTGCTAATTTTGGTTACGCCTGACCGTTCATCTAGAGCTTATACATTATATATCATAGCAAATCTTGCGTTTCCTCTTGCCAGTCCTACAGGGCTAATGCCATACCAGTCTGCTACTGCATACCAGCATGCAATTTGATGAAACTACGCCGGTGCATGCTATTGCAATTTGTTTTATGTTTTCTAATAACAAAAACTTAAAGCGATTAAAAATTTCAATGAGAAAAAGTCGTACGCCTTGACTTCGATCTTGTGAATTTTTGTCCAAGTAGCAATTTGTTGTTGGTAGTTTTTTTAATTGTATTTCATTTAATAATTTTCCATTTTAACTTATTGCCACATGTAGAGACGATTTGTTGTTGTTGCATATTTTAGCCGCAAGCACTTATTGCTATGCAATTTTCAGCACTCGACGGTAGCAATTGCATATGTGCACGGGCATGTGTGCTATAGCACACACGTGCTGACTGGTGTTGGTGTGGCATTGCACGAGGTGAGGTTCTTTGCTAAATTCACCAATAATTTGCCGCACAAGGCCGCGCTCGAGTCAAACGAGCAAACATCCAACAGCTGTTGAGTGCCATTCAATGAACGTGCTCAGCTCGTTGAATGCCAAGTTCTAAGCTATTACAGAAATGGCAGTTCGTCTCGAAATTATTGTATGGCAGAAAAACTTCCAAGCATGCTAGAACATTGCAAACTTTCGTATGTGTGTCTGTGCTTTTTTTTTTGCCATTTTGCGGTGGCATTAACCAAAATTTGTCATTGAACTCCCGTATCGGGTGTAATAAACGTTGGTAATTATTACTATTGTTGTTGTTGTCGCAAGTGTTTATTAATTATACAAGTGATGCTTATTTACAAAGCTGCATTACTTTGGCAGTTAATGTGCTTTTATAGTCAGTCTTCTTACCAAATGCAGTGTCGCCGTGGGAACTTCGCATTTGGTGATTTGGTTTTTCTATGAAAATAATTGATCAAAAGAGATAAATTTTTTGAAAAACATATTAATTTACTTACATCAATTAAAAATAAATTAATTTACAGCTTTCTGAACTCGACTTAGGTTTACAAAAATTAAATAATATTGTAAACAGCTGTTATATTTATAAATATATTAAGATCATTTGTTAATTGTTTTGAATCACACTAAATTTAAGTACTAAAAACCGCTGAATTTTCCGAAAATTCTATGTTTTACTAAAAAGTTATATAAAATATTTCTAGCAGTAATTTAGAAAACTCATTACCTTAATTAGAAATTGAACTTCTGGCTGACTCATAAATATCAATATAAAAGTAAATATAATAAATAAGGAAAAAGCTTAATTCAAATTGGTTTTTGAGTCATGTGGATGATGACCTAACGAACTAATTTGTCAAAGTTGTTTGTTAAATATATGATGTAAGCATATGCGACGGGGATTTATTAATATTGGCGGAAAGAAGATGAGCTGGAACTACTTTCTTACACATTAATTTGTGCAACATATTCATCTCCTGCTAACTTTCTCTCAATGAATTCCCCTTTTCTATTTTAGGCTTGATTAAATCGGTAAGACTCTTCGGGCTCATCTTACATTGTACTCAAACTATATGAGCTTACGATCGGTCGATCGGGGAAACATCTTGCACTTTACTGATCTGTAAAGCTCCCAGAAGCAACCTTGCAAGTTTTTAGAAATGTAGTTAATTTCTGTAGCCACTTTTTCAATAATTAAAATATTCAGTGTAATTATTTTAATTAAATTTCATTGAGTTAATTGATCGTCCTTATTTTCAAGACAGTTCCTGAATTCCTTAAAATTAAGTCTCCACGTGAAAACAACAGTTTTACCTGAGTTAGTGTGCTTATATGTGGCTTTTATATCTTCTACAACGATTTTGGCATATCTTCACAAGGCAAGCCACTATATAAAAGGCAGATATTTAATTTCTTTACTCAGTTGACTTGCTCGGTTGAGTTGTCGGCTAGTGATCTGATCACTGTAAACTTCTTCTCTGATTTAATAATCATTAAAGGTTTTCCTCGAACCACTTTTTGCTTTAAAGATATTTTTCAAATTTAAACATGTTTGACGTGATCAAGAATACTGATACTTTATATGGACTTCAAATCTTCTTTAAAGGTTTTAACAGATGTTCTGAACATAATGAGATGTAAGGACACTTTATATAAGCCCTATAGCCACGACTAGTAAATTAATTCGTTAAAACGCACTCAAAATTAAAAACTTGTCGTTGCCTCTCTGAGAATTCGGTAGCCCATATCATTCTACGGCAACAGAAACTATAAATTGTTGTTTATATATTTGCTAGCTGTCTAATTTAGATCAATTCTTGAAAACCTTACCAATTTTCAGAGCAGAACGTTTCCAAATGCCTTTCTTAAGTAAGGAATCATTGAGACAAAATGAATTTCACATATATCGTCTAAACAATTTTTGTCAAAAATATAAAATATTTATATAAAAAAATTAAGATATTGAAAATTTATAAGTGTTTGCATATGAAATTGACGGTTACATCCAAAACGTGTTACTATACTGCAATAAAACCTTTCAGTTCTATACACGAGATCGTTAATCTTAAAAATGTATACGAAATGGGTACGAATTTCATTCATGAGCAAATTTATGTTACTTTAGGTCCACAAGAGACGACCTAAGCCAAGTTCTGCAAGAAATTGTTTGAAATTATCATAAAAATGTTAAATATAAACTCAGCGAAAACTGTACATAATTAACCAGGGTGGACCGTTCAATATTGCTCACATGTGTCGGCAAATGTGACTTACTATATTAGATAAAAGATATTTTTTATGCTTCATTTCGAGTCTGCATAAATACATACTTGTCTGTAAGAATCTGATTTGCAAACTAGTTGCCGAGCAGCTCGCTCGTTTTTAAAATCTAATTCAATATTCAAAGCACAGACTTTCGAATTCTTATTCTTATTTTAACTATGGTTTTGATATTTTGACGCATAAATTTACTTGTATATATTGTATATGCTTATATAAACATACACACACAGACGTTGTACATGTCTGTCTGTTTGTAAGCTAGAAAACGCTTAGCACGGACTAATTCAAGCATTCGCTGTTAGAATTGTGAATGCTTTCGTGCGGTGCAGTACTAACAGCTCGGCCGCAGCGCTAAAAATTCCAAATATTCATATAGATTGCGAAAAAGTATAATAAATAATTTTTAATAATTTAACTTTGATACATGTTCATAAACATTAACTGCAGTTACATTAAAATTTCATGCGCGTTTCGATTCATCCATCTTAATTTAAATAATATATTATCTGTGTCGTGTTGTTTAATTCATAAAAGTGTTTTCTGCTTAATTCATATGTTTAAGAAGTGTTTAATTTTTTCATTTATAGAACGAGACACATACATACAACAACGAAAATGGCGACCTATATGAAAATTTTCAATGAACGCATATCCGGTCTTTCGAAGGGTGTTGGTGAGTAGCTTTGCATCAAACGAGCATAAAATCCGTATGCATTTTTAGAATGATAAATTCTTAGCGCGTCGTGAAAATTGGGTTTTTTGTAGTTAGTCGAAAAAATTCTATATTTATATATAATAAGAATATTTATGGTTTTAAAATAATAAAAAATTCTGCATAACAAGCAAATTTTTTTTACTTAACGGTAAAAATATATCGTAATTCAGCCATTTAAATATATTTTCTGTCAAACGAGATTAAAAAGCATTGTTACCGTAAATTAAATTTGATATTAACTTTCATTAATGCAAAATTTGGAAAACAGTTAAGTAATTTTAAAATTTAGTTATCAGTATTAAAATAAAGTTATTATTATAGTCGATTCCATTTTAAGTGCACACATTTTTATTAAACTATATTAAGCAAATGAAAACCAGTATCAAATTATTTTATTATGAAATAAAAAAATTAAAAAGTGACAAAATTAATTAACAGGGAGATAAATAAAATTAGATAATAATTTAATTGAAATAACCTGAAGTTATATGTAATTCTTTTTTATTACAAGCAAAAATATTTTATTGGTTTTTGTTAAAAAAAAAAGAAAAATAAAGTAAAATAAAATCAATTCAATTCAAGGTGCTCTGATTATTTAAAGTAAAATTTAACAAAACTAAAATTATTAACTTTATGATTTTTAATTTCAAAAATCTATTTTATTGTTTTTTTTTATATTTCAATATTTTTAGACAATATAAAATATTATATATTGATAATTTTGAATCCTCCTCTACAGATGAAACGGTGGACAGTTGGTTTCTTATGAGCTCACCAGGACCGGTAGTTTCCATTGTTGGACTCTATTTGCTCTTCGTTCTTAAAATTGGACCCGCATATATGCGTGATCGTAAACCATATGATCTTAAGAAAGTCATGGTCATCTACAATGCATTTCAAGTTTGCTACTCCATGTGGATGTGTCGCACGGTAAGTACATAATACTTGTATATATACATCATATCAAAAACATAACAATAAAAAAATGTAAAAATTTAGTCGATTTTATAATGATAACTAGTGTTGTATTGAATATTTCAATAATATTTTGCAATAAAGTATTAGTTATGAAAAATGTATATATCTACACTATTACTAAAAGTGTCACTATTTGCTTTTCGCTTTCACTTGTTGCCTTTTGGTTTTGATGAAAAAAATATTGTAAAGAATATGATAAACATCTTCTGGTAAAAGTAAATGTTATAATAGAAGTTTTTTGGATTTTCGATAAACAATTAGAAGCGAAATATTATGCTTTCAAGGATTGATCGAGTTTTATTTCCCACGCTTACAGCCACCAAAAAATAAACGCGTCCAAGGTCAAAGGACTGTGAAAAATCCGCATAGCCATTTGTTTGAACTATTCACAGTGTGAACAAAAAAGAAACATGGCTTTCCGCTTCACAGCACTCTATCAAATAAAGCGAACTTTCTTGGCTTTATAAACACTTCAAATTAGACTTTAGTGGAATTTACTTGTAATTGAAATAGTGGTCTGTGAAAATTCTATTGTAATCTATTTGTATCCGTCGTATGATAGTTTTTTTATTATTAATAATATCTGCCTTTGCCTACAATTCTTCTTTGGCAGTTATTTAGTTCAAACCCAAAATCTGCGGAGTTTTCAATGTTTATGTTTTACGATTATAATTTTTTACTGAGTGGTTAGCCTTAAACAACAATTTCATTTATTTATTATTTTGTGAATAAATAAACATATATTTTGCGATGCTTTAAAATAGGTTTAAGATGGGTCACTACCCATCCGAAATATTAATGCTCGTTCTATAAAATAACTACTAGATTGAATTATCTCCTTTTCTTTCCTGATATAACACTTAATTTTTTCCTTTATTCTTATAGTCAATCAGAGAAAGTAACGTCATCGCCTCGATTCTTTCGAAGAGATGCGAAATCGTACGCAACCGTGAACAGAATTTGATGCTTTACTCCGGCGCCTGGTACTATTTCTTCTCAAAGATCATCGATTTGCTCGACACTACGTTCTTTGTGCTGCGTAAAAAGCAAAATCAGGTTTCTTTCCTGCACGTTTATCATCACACCATCACTGCGCTCTTCTCTTGGGGTTACCTCAAGTATGCGCCTGGTAAGTGAACTGATCTTTACTCAACGAGTAGGGATTATTAATCTCCTAATTTTTTTTTTTTTTTTTTTTTTGCTATAGGTGAGCAAGGTGTCATCATTGGCATACTCAACTCTGGCGTACACATCATTATGTACTTCTATTATATGGTTGCTGCCATGGGTCCGCAATACCAGAAATACCTTTGGTGGAAAAAATACATGACCACCATTCAGCTCATTCAGTTCGTGCTCATCTCGGGCTACATGATCATAGTTGCTGCCAAGGGTTGCAATATGCCACGCGCGCTGTCATTCTTATTTCTCGCCAACACCATAATCTTCTTGTATCTGTTCGGAAAATTCTATCGGAATACATACAACACGCGAAAGGCGGCAGCAGCAGCAGCCGCAGCGAATGGTCATGCAAATGGCTATGCTAAGGGTCTTACGAAAGGTTCGATCACTGGGCGCGCACTACTCGCCGCTGCCGGTGGCATGGGCTGCAAGCCGACAACAAACTCACTGCTGGCACATGGCGATCAGATGAAGCACTTAATCGATGTGAATAATAATCACATAAAATTGACGAAAACCGAATAGGTGTGGTGAAAACTACCCACTTTTCACCATGATTATTAAAAGTGAAGTTTAAGGGTGTAGGGGCTACTTGAGCACGGGTTGGGTTATGCATACATATTTACATACATTATTGATGATCACGATGAATTTATCGGATGTTCAGGTGAAGTTTAGAAAACAATTTAAACTTTTGGTGAATTTTTATATTGTAATATAGGAAGTGAAATTCGCCCGAAAAGCAATTTAGTTAAAGCCTGGTAATTTCAAAAAGAAGGTAAGAATGAAATTTTCAATTAGTTCGTGTTCGGAGTATAAGCAATCATTACCCTAACTGGCGGTGAAAATATCTAATATTATAAATTTTGCTAAAACTTTCGATTTCTCAATCATTTTTTTTTATATAAAAGAAAAAATCAAACTTTCCGTTGTTGCCAAAGCGCAATAATCATTATAAAATATATTCACCACATGCTATAGTATAAAAAAAACACATTTCAATAGCGCTAAGTAGAAATATTTTTAAAACATATTTTATTTTTAAAGCATATTGTGAGAGCTTTTTTTATTGGGGGTTTCTTTAGTATTTCGTAATTACAAACTATCTTACGTACTTAACTAGCATTATTGAAAAGTTCTGTATTAGTTAAGAAAATATTTGATAAAAATGAAAATAAAGAACATTGAAGACAGCAGTTGAAATGGGGTTGCCGCTTCTTCTGTGATTGTGTGCGTCTGTGCGTGAATGACCTTTTGTGTAAATATATAAATTTTAAAAGTATGTAAAAATATGGAGCTATACATTATGTATGGAGTTTCCCTAACCAAAAAAAAAAAAATATATATATATATATATATCAAAATTTTTCTTTGCTATCTGCAGTTTCAAACAATTCCATCATATTATATATGCATGTTTGTGTGTGTGCGGTGTCTAGAAAGCGGTGGACCCATTTATTTATATACCTTGTATGTGAATTACTTAAGGAGTAATAAAATAAATATATGTATGTTTAATTCTTTTTTTGAATAAATATTATTTATATATATGTACATTTATATTAAACAATGCTGAATATTTGTATGCCTTTTTGTAAATTTACTAGTTTTGTTTTGAACAGAAATAAACGAAAATTTAATAATCAAAAATTATTAAGCAACCAAATTCGTTAAGTATTGAAAATATTCTAACATACAATTACGAGAGATCGTATCGTCGATCAGCTCTTATAACAAGTAGCAAGATAGGCGGAAATTTATACTATAATTCAATTTTGAAAAAATAAAAGCTTTAATAAAGCTATAATCTACGTATCCCAGGATCTCCAAAACTGAACAATTACCTCGCATTATCGTGATGAAAAATCCATGAATGTATACACTTCAAACCGGCCAAGTGGTATACCTCACTGGCCGTTTGTCTCTGTGGAACTACACCACGGTTGCGCATCATCTTGATTTTTTACCGACCTTGACCAAGTTTTTCGGTTTCAGCACATTTCTTACTTTTATTGCTATGATGCCACCACGACAATTTTCAAGCATTATTTGTATAACTTTTTCGATGCTATAGTCATTAACAGCGATGGTGACACTCAAATACTTGCGTTCGTGATAAAATATACTTTTGCAACATTTTAAACGATTCCGTAGCCGTTGTTCAATTTTTTTATGGTAAAAAGCGCTAGACAAACTTTTCGCCGTGGCGAACAATAAAAGGTTATGTCAATCTAGGAAAATGTTTTTATCGATTTGGTTTGCGTGCATAGTTTAAATGAACCAGTTCAAGTCAAGTTTGTTCTTGAGTGATATCGTCGACCAATTCTGTGTCAATCACCAATACAGTGTAATAGATTCTGTCATTGTTTCAGCTGTTATACCATGTACCAATATAATATAATATAATTAAATTTTATAAATTAATAGATTACAAAAAGTTGAATTCCTGGTCTCATAAAAAATAAATATAATTGAATATAATAGTATTAATTAGGTATAGAAGTTGGAGAAATAAGAGCTAAGAAGCTGTAAATATGCATAAATAGTCATGGTGCAATGATTTTACGTGCTTCTTCGTTTGCAGATTTTTTGTTGTCAAATTAAGTTCAGTTTCAAAAAAGAGTGTAATATACCCCTTAAAAGCTAATCTACTTGTATTTATTTATACTTTTTACTGTTAATAAATTTTTATAATTGAGGGGTTCTCTCATGTTCATTCCCGCCGAAAATATTGAAAAATAATCGATCGAAAGCTTTAATGATTTAAGTTAGTTTAAGTTGACTTATAAGTATTCATTTAATTACTATAAGTTTAACGCGTACATACGTACTGCTCCGCAGGGCATTTGATGGACACCAGCTTCCAATCAAAATAAAAAGCTCCCCAAGCATGTTTTTGTATAGAAATGAAGTTCTTAAAGAATGAATAGAACGTTCGGCGGTTATAATAATATCTTTTTATTGTAAGGAAATAAAGTTATAGAATCAAATATATAAAAATACTGAGTCCGTTTGAGTCTAATTTCAAACCCTGAAGTTTTCACCTTCTTTGCTGCTTTAGCAATTATTTAGGAGAGACGCATTTTAAAATTATATCTATGAATATCATTTGAACAATTCGACAATTAATAAATCGTGGATTTACGCGTATGAGCTAGAAATTAAAGCACTTTCAAACAAATGGTTGAATGTTTTTTGGAAAAACTAGACATGTTGCAACCATAATACTAGAACAACGCAGAACAGAAAATTTTGAGTAGTACACAACCACTTATGTGCCAGTTGTCTTTCCAGAAATCAGAAAAGCCAACTGCCGAAATGGGATCACTCTTAATCACGACAATGCGAGCTCTTATACATCGACTGAAACAACTGCATTTTTGAGCCATCAAAACACCGATTTGATAGTTTACACTCCGTATAGTCCTGACTTGGCAGTGAATGTCTTTTTTTTTTTCGTTCGTAAAAAAAACGAGTCGTACGTTCTTCCCCTTCTTTCATTCACGACACCACAAACTAATATATTTTCTGTCAAATGTTCTCCAAAAAAGTAATGTAAGTAGTTAATGTTGAACAGTGATAAGAAAAGTAGAAAAGTTCTTGGTACTTTGCAGTTAACTTAGATTCAGAATAAAAATTGCAGTAAGACATTCCACTCCGAATAAAGTTCTTTTAATGAACCATTGGTTTTATAAAACTGTTAAAGGTTACTGTGCAAGCAAATCAACATGTTGCACAGGGTATATTGGTGGTAACTCCCAAAACTAATTGATATGGAATTCCGGGCAACTGTCGTCCATCCGTCTCACTGCTTGTACGAGTACAATAACTTAAGTAAAGTTACGAGAATATAGATGAAACTTGGCACTTTAGATAGGATGATATAAAATTGTCACGCCCTCAAAATGCCGTTAATTGAACAGCTAGATAGTGTCAAATTAAGACACAAAACTGTAATATGGTACAGAAAAAAGTTTAAAAGCTTAAAGTTTAATATTTGTGGCCTAGCCCTCTAATAGGTTTGAAGCACGTATCTTACAAACCACTAGAGCTATATGGACCAAACTTGCTGACGAAGAAGCCTTCCGAAACTTCCGTATACAGTGCGAAAGTGGAAATTTTTTGATATATCAGTATATATATACGTCAGAAGAATTAAATTCTTCTTCCAAAATTTGACAAAAATGCCTCATTGGAATCGTTGGACTGGCTGGCTTACTTTCAGGTGAAATCTTGTATCCCAGAAAATACTCGACTTATGTCTAAAATTTGGTGTATCCTTATGTTAATGTGGGAAAATGGGTGAACTCGAACTACAATCACGCCTAATTCCCATACATAACAATTTTAAACTTTTGTACAAAAAGTGCACTTAAGGTACATTTGGCATTACGAGTGAAAAATTGTCGAAATCGGACCACACATTGTCAAGTTTCCAGCCACTAAATATGTTCACCTCAGCGCCTTTAAAATATCGAACAATTGGTGAGATTTAAACAGATTAAGAGATAATTTTTTCGTGATAACAATATGCCTTTGTGACAAAAATGGGTACAATCGGTGCCCATATACCTAACAAGTAAGGAAGCACTAAGTTCGGGTGCAATCGAACATTTTATACTCTTGCGAATTTCTTCATGTGATGCCTGAACTTTATATTAAAAAATATTGCGAAAGAATTAAACTCATTATTTAAAGAAATCGTGAATAAAATACCATTAAATTTTATATCTTCTTGATTTATATTGAAGATAATTAACATAGACTTATAAACATCAAATGAGGTATACAAGTATGTTTTGTGATATCAACTCACTCGAAGAAGCTAAATTTAATACACATTGAGTTGATGTGGAAAACGTCAACTAAAGGATCGGAATTTATTATATTAGGGATATGAGATTTAATTTCATTAAATTACTACACATTTTGACCAGTTTAAATGGTTTCAAGTCAGGTGTAAGAGAAAGCATTAATATGGACATTGCTCAAGTATGTATACTTGGGAACATATTTTCAAGCAATTCTTTAAATAATATATATAACTTACACACAGAACGACATATTCGCTATATAACTTGTTAACGAAACGAAAATCATTATATATAGTATATGTGAGTAGGCGGTAGTATTGACCCGATGTTTATCTATTTTTGCCAATACCTCTTACTATTAACATGCCACGTACAGTATGTATATGGGAGCTCAGAGAAGTATTGACTCGATTCAACCCATTCTTGACATTCAGACACACTGTTATCAGAAAAGGGTTCTCTCCAAATTTCAATTATACCTATAGCTCACACATTGACCGATGCTTTCAATAACAAGTCAACTTTGAGCACTGGGGTCCACATATTCGGTACCTACAGATAAGATAAGATACAGGTACCGAATTCGGTTACAATCGGTCGAGCAGGTCTCGAGATATGTGAGTTTACCTGTTGTTGTTGTTGTAGCGGCAGAATTCTGCCGAGTTGACAGTCTCAGACTTTTAACAAAACCATTATATGGGAAGGGGGCAGAGTTGAAAAAATTTGTATTGTGCAAATTTAGATAATATAGATTTATTGGTTTGGAAGATATATACATTAAACTTATTAGGCGACGGGAATACGCTCACTTTTTAATGGTTTTAAACCGCAGGTGCCCCTCCTTAATGTGATTTTTTGTGCCAAATTTGATTTCTGTATCTTAATTTACGGCTTAAATATAGAAATTTATACGTTTTTGATACCTTAATTCTTACTTCGGATTTAAACTCGTCTCTTCATCCTCATAATTTATATATAATATATATAACCCCATATCTAACCAGATCATTTTTAAGGTGATACAAGCAACCGTTAAGTGAAAAAAACTATTATATTCTGTAGCAACATGTTGCAAAAGTAAAAATAAAAATAAAATATTTTCTAACTTCCGGTTGACCTTATATCATATAATATAATATATATTGGGCAATATTTAAATCATCTTTACAAAATTAGGTGAATGTATAATATTGAATAAAACATATGTGTACTATGGTTTAATGCTGAACATTTGTGAAATGACTTTACTCATACAAGAAGACGGTCATATTTAAAATCTTTAAAATTTAGCATCAATTTAGATGCATTTATAAAACAAGAAGGCGATTTTTTCCCCGCGGTATTATTATTTTTTTTTTTGTTTATCAAAATTAGAATATCAGTAGACGACTAAATGAATACTATGAGTATGTATGCAGTATGATTTTGATTCAAGCAATCCAAAATAGCGCTTATCAGAAATGATTCGATGATTTAAATACGTAAGCAGAGTTCAAGAAGCCCGTTGAACCATTCAAAAACCTTTGTTTTACAAGAAGTCCCATAACTCATATAATCATATAAATCAGGGAATTCTGCGCACATATACACAACAATAAATAATTCTATATATCTACTTATAATCTCTTTGAACAAAAATAAACCACGCGTCCGCAGGTCTCGCAATACTTTGACAAATTTTGTGTATCGACACATATGGATACTTTCAAACATATGCACGTACGTGAGCCAATACGTGATCGGTTGATGAAACGAAAATTAAGTAAAGAAACATTTATTGAAATATCGATAACTTTTATTCTACTCAAATCAAAACAGAACAAAAAAACAACAACC